ACCTTGAAAATTCATGGTCTTCTTCAGTCTCTTAGCTGGTTTAATGATTTTCATTTTGAAAAATTGTTCTCTAATAATATTGGCTAGTTTAAAATTGGGCCCACAAAAGATACTTTATCCATTTATATTTTTAGCCATCTAATCATTGCTTTGGAAAGGTGGATCTTATCTACTGATTCTCATACTTTGTTGTGTGTCAGAATCAGTTGGAGGGTTTATAAAATACAGATTCCTCCCAGAGATTGTGATTTAGTAGGTCTGGGATAGGGCCCAATAAATTGTATTTCTAACAAGTTCCCAGGTGACCCTGATGCTCTGTAATCCCTAGAAATAGCATAAATCGCAGATCAACACATCCCATTTGAAGGGAAAAGTTAGGGAAGAAATAATTATCAGTCGAATCAAGGCCAACAATTGTTAGAGTTTTTGTTGATGTTGCTTTGTTTTCGTATAAAACAGTCTCCCTGGAATTTCATTGCTGATGCATTTTCCCAAATCCTTTACCCACTCTTGGGTCCAGGCAAAATTTCCTTATCAGAAGACCATTTGGTTACCAATTAGGTTGTTTCAGTGGAGAGGAATCACTTGTAAATTGAATATCCACTGTCTAATAAGAATTGGCGATGTTCCTCCAAGAGATAGAAAATTCAGATAAATAAGCTACTTGAATTAGAAATAGAAATTAGTAAACTGTACTCTATATTCCCTGTCCTTGGGAGCATGTGGAAATCAAATCTACTGCCTGCAGGCAAGTATGTATAACTTTATTGCTGTGACAATAGTTTGAGAAATGTGAGGATGGGAGAAGAAGCGACATGAATGTCAGGGATTGAGTGAGAAGTTCCAAGTATTGGTGAGTAATTTGTAGCTTTCCTATAAAGCACAATTAATATTTCAGGCAAACAAGTTTTAAATCTTAGTGCATCTAGGTTCCAGAATCATAGGATTTGGTACTGCGTGAAAAGTCTGCATCTGGTTACAGATGAGCAGAAGGTACCTTATTGTTTTAGAATAAATCAGGTTACACTGCCATCTTTGCTTCTTTCCAGTGGGTCTGTAGTCATCACCTAAGACTGATTTGAGAAAATGTCTTTGGGAGCTTGGGATCTGAGGATATTTCTGGAAATGTTTTGATGCCATATAGAGTTTTTTATACATCTTTTTGTTTTGCCTGTATACCTGCATAAAAAGAATTGGGATTATCATAATCACTTTTGAATGATGTTTTGGTATCCCTCTTATATGTTTATCATTAGTTTTGCATATTCTGTTTAAAACCACTGGGAAGCATTTAGACAGTGATTTCATTTTTGACAGTAGATACTATTAAAAATTATTGGATGAGTGTAGAATGAATATAAAATGATTTTTAGATCAGTTTCCAACATTTTTATTAAATTGGATTAACATTTATTATATTGAGGTTTTTTTTAAGATTTTATTTATTTATTTGACAGAGAGAGAGGGAGAGAGCACAAGCAGGGGGGAGCGGGAGAGAGAGAAGCAGGCTTCCTGCTGAGCAGGGAGTCCGATGCGGGGCTCTATTCAGGACCCTGGGATCATGACCTGAGCCGAAGGCGGATGCTTTAACCAACCCAGCCACCCAGGCGCCCCTATATTGAGATGTTTTTAAATGCCTATTTATTCTAGCCTGGCATTTGAGTTAGCTTGTTGTGGTTTTTATATTATAGAACTTAAAATCTTTCTTTCCAAGTTAGTAAATTGGTTTTATAAATGCCCAAAAAGAAACCTAGTGACATTTCTTTACTGACATTGTCAAGATAATGTGAGAGGAATTATACAACAGTCTTAATATTTAAGTTGTTGGTTAATGGAACTATGATAATCAATATACTTGGTGATTTTAATGATGCTTATTTTTCCTCTGAGGATCAAGCGATACCTATTTTATGATAAGTGTCCAATGTCTTTTCACTCGAAACTAACTATTCATTGTTAAGAGGCGAAAGACAAGACAGCTAATGGGGTAAAAAAAAACACTGAAAAAATGCAGGGATGAAATGTAAATAAAGCTCAAGTGGAATAACTTGGTCAACATGAAGAAGACACATTACACTATTTTATGTGGAATGCCTTTTCCTGGAACTTCTGAGAAATAGGATAATTACTAACTCACTCTTTTGGAGTTTTATTTTTTATGATTATAAAAGTTGGGGAGACTGTTTTTGTCAATTGTGGTCTGAGGGTATAATTTAAATTTATAATGACAAAAGATGTATATTATGTCATTAGTGGGATTTTGTTATTCATGTTCCATGTTCATTACTAGTTGTGCATGTTCTGTTCAAAACCACTCTGAAACATTGGGTGGTTCCATTTTTCATTACTAGATAATATTAAAATTTATTCTGAATATCTCTCATAATTATTTGCATCATTTTAGGGAGGGACAGGATGGCATACTTGAGAATGTGGTGGGAAGCCTGCTGCATTAGAAACCACCTCCTAAATGAGTGGATTTCATCTACTTTCTTCTTACTATAAGACACTGTTGTTCAAAAGAACTCTTACATATTCCAGTATAAACAAATAAAAGGAAGGTTGCTCTGGTTCGGGGAAGAACCTCTTCTGGAGAGTACTGTGAGTTGACTCCCAGGTCCCACGGCATCCTGAGGGACAGAGAGTTTGAACACCACTGTAGCAAATTCTAAATTTCCTCCCAGGTCTAAAATGCAATGCTCAGGTCCATCATCCCTGAGGTAAATTGCCAACTCCACAATATTTCCATCTCTTGAATTTTATGTATTGATTTCTTAACTGAGTGAAAGTTTATTTGCAATATAAATGGAATTAAATATTTTTTTTTACTGACAGAAACATAAGATTTTCTTGTTTTGTCTTAAGTCACATGCACTTTGGAATAACTTCTTTTTTAAAAACCTTGTAACTTACCGGTCCAAATATAATTTTGCAGGAGGTAGAAGTTAATCTATGAAAGAAGGAAAATTCAGTGCCACTTTCTTCAGCAATGGGTTATCTGCCTAATGACTTAGCACTCTTCCTTCCTTCCACCCAAACTCTATGTCTCCTTGTTCTCTTTCCCCTGCCCCACACTCTGTGGTTGACCAAGATCCTTCCTTCATCTGATTGTCCTGGGAACCTTGAAACACTCTGCTTTTCCCCTTTCCTTCTCTGTTGCTACTAATGCGTTAGGAATTACATTTTACCCGCTGATGTAGTTTAGAAAAGCAAGAAGAGTTCTCAGGACTAGTGGATTATCACTTTTGGGTGTGCCCTTGGGAGTGGTTAGATGCCACAACACAGTTTGTAATGCAGAATTTATTTCTCATAGAGAAATGATGTTATAAGTGTACACCAGAGACTATAGAATGTTTAGACTATAGAATGGTTAGTAGTAAACATTATGGAATGTTTAGTACAGTTCATTTACTCTACAGGTGAATTCCACAATATGTGTTGGTCTGGGAGCCTATCAAGTGTTATAAATGCTATTTCTATAGAAAAGTTGGATCTCTGTTTCAGGTAGAGATGAATGCAGAATATTCCTAGTTGGGGACTGACCATATTTATGGGTTGATCCCGGGGTGCATATATTCAGTGGTTCTGCATCTATCCATTAGACAGCATCAACATTTTCTTTTCCTTTTTCTTTTCCACAATGAATTTAGCCTAAGAGGCTGAAATAGAGAGAACATTTTCAGATCCGAGCTATGTTTTCTTTTTAATTTGATAGACTAGAAACTGGATGCAATAAAATGGAGAGGTGGTACTAAGATCACATTAGGATTTGTGAAGTGGACAATTGCCTTACATAAATAGCAAGTAAAAAATCAAGCGGGTTCTTCATAAACATTTTATTCTGGGGCGTGCTTATTTTCTGAAACTACCTCTACTAAATCTCCTGTCAGTCTTGAAACTAGAAGGCAGAAAAGCTTCTAGTGCCACAGCCAACTGCAGTGGAGCCAGAGAAACAGGCAACAAAAATAGAACACCAGGATTGCTGTGCGTGGGTGAGGCAGAAACCACATTATGAGCAAAAGCTTCCAGTATTATTTTAGAACCAATACAGAGCTCTGCACTTCTCTCCTTTCTCTTCCAAAAACACATACTATAAAAATAAAATGAAATTAAATGTATGTGCATTTGCCCTCTTAGAATTATGATGCTTAATTTTTTTTTTTTTTGCCTTCCTTTCTTTGGAGGCGAATCTCCAGTGTGGAAATACAGTGTGTAAAGCAAGCTTGGAGGGAGGAAAGAGTTAATTGCTTTTAAGGCCCTGCAATAGAGAATTATGGTTTGAAAGATAGAGGCTGGACAGCTGGGTTTGCTGGGGTATTTTTAAATGCATTAATGCAAGCTCCAATCACTCGGCCATGCTTGACCTATTTTTGGCTCAGGCCGACCATTGTTCTATTTCTGTGCCTGTGGGCCATGCCGTTGTTGATTCATATGCAAATGGATTATCACTAGCTTTAGCCAACTTGAGCTGAGAGAGACCAGAGAGGGGGAAGAGACACACACAAACAGATAGAAGGGCACCGGCTGAAGCCACTTGCAGGACTGAGGGTTCTTGCAACGAAACTCTAGCAGCCTGAAGAACTATAAGCCAGGTTTAATTGGTTTCTTTTTCTCGTGGGTAGAGTTAATATTTTTCTACTTATTCTGACAAAGCAATAACCCCGAAGCACATTCCTGTTTCCCACCTGCTTTTAGTTTCTGGGATAACCTAAACTCCAAAGAGCCATAGCATCCACTCGGTCCTTTCTGCTTTGTACACAGGTTGGTAACATAGGAAAAGTGTCCAGATCTTTTTAAAAAGTGTATGTCCACCTTAACAGAAAGGAAATCGTTGTTGAAGTTGGTCGGCTGCTGCCTTTCCTCGGGGAGGAGGGAGGACCAGGGAGGGTAGTTCCTGGGGCCCGTGCACTGAGCAGCGATGAATCTTTCATGTAGCTGAAGTAAGAGTGATTGGAATATGCTGCAGACAATTTACGAGAGTGACTCGTGTTTTTCCTCAGATGGGGTGGCTGGACGAGAGCAGCTCTTGGCTCAGCAGAGAATGCACAGTATGATCAGCTCAGGTAAGATCCTCTTCCATAACTGAGACATTTTATGTGTGAAAGGAGGCTGACTTGGGAAATGCAGCTAAGAAAAAGCACCTCTCAAGGATTTGCTTCTTTTTGGTGTTGATGTTGCTATTTTCTTGGTGCGTCTGTAGGGTTTAACTTAGATCCCTTCCATTACCGTTTCTGTGCATATTCAGTGTTTAGGGACGACAGCTTCTGAATGAAATCTCAAAGCTTCTGATGAAGGATGGGACTGAGATAAGTAAAATGTAGCTGGGGGTGCTTTGCCTTACTGTGCAACTAGAAGAAGGAGATCTGTACTGATTGCAAGCTGTTCTAATGGGACTTTAAAAATCAGGTAAGTTCATACTGGAGTTTCAGTTTACATTGCAGCCTGCGCTAGCCAGATGATTTTATATTTACAGTGTGCATCCAGAAGCACATCTATTTATAGACCTACCTTCTGAAATGTGTTTGCTAGGAGTTGCAAAGGTAGTTTTAATGTGTTTTTTTCTCATCAGCCCAAAATGAAACTATTTAGGATGGAATAAAATTATTAGCAGATGGTTATTTTAATTTTCTTGAAAAACATTTGGAGAGTCTAGCGTTGTCAGGCAGATGGACGGCATAGCACACACATAAAGGTGTTACATGCAGGTGCAACCCTTGAAAGAATAACAGTAACAGATTCTCGTTTCCCAGCGTATGTACTTGTGCCTTCAAGGCGATGTGCTGAGGAGATCAAGCTTGTCAGCATTATCAATTTCTATTTGTGAAAAGAGCAGACTCTCCAGGCAATATCACTTAGTTGTAATTGTTGCTCTTCATATTTAATCCTACAGCCAGTTCCTAAAGCTTGGGGCTTTATATTTCCGTCCTCTTCGGAATGCTTCCGCCTAAATTGGCTCAAAGTTCTCCCTCACGTCTTCTGAGTTCCTATGTGGGCTTAATCGTAATTCTAGATCACCACATAGATCTATGCAAAAAATGCAACATAAAGCAGCGTTTGCTTGGTAGAGCTAGGATGTGAAAGAAATATTCCACAGGTTGGCACGATGTCTGTTTCAGTGCTGAGCACCTTCCCATTTACGGATCTATGTTTGAAGCAAGTTTTCTTTAAACCTCGGTCAGTTGTGATGATTTTGAGATACTTCTCTTGTCCTGATTTTTTCTTGGACTCCGAATTAGAGATCAATTTTGTGTAATCTGATATGTTTACACTTACGTGACAGGAATTATATTATTTAGTAGTGTCCACTTATCTGAAGCAAACATGCGAGAATTTTAATACGGTTTATTATCTTCCATTATCTTTGTGGCTGTAAAGTTGACAAGAGGTTGGGGAGGGGTCAGCTGGTGGGTCTCAAATGGAACTGGTCACTTAATTTAGCATTTTATTTTTTAAATCTGGATCGACTTTCTAAAAATAACTATGTTAGGGATCTTTTCAGTACTGCACTTTATCCTTTCAGTCCTTGCCTCTGTGTAACAAGTTTAATGTTTCTTTCACATGGTAGAAACAAAGCTGTGCCTTTCAAGCAGGGACTGGCTGCTGACATTGAATCTCTTGCCACAGGCTACAGGTGTTTGCAAAAACCTCACCGTTTTCAATGTCTTCGATAATCACATGTAACTTTACTCCATTTTTCAGTTGAGATTGCTATTTTCCTGACGTTAAAGCAATAATATTTTCAAGCAGGGAATTGCTTGAGACTGTCAGTGCTGTTGTCGGTTCTGTAGGAAGGGAAACATCCCTTAAGCACCAGCTATTAAATGAGAAGTGATGTAGATTGACATCAACTCCCAAGCCTGTCTGGTATAAATCAGGAACTCCAGGTTCTGTTTATTTTTAAAATTTGAAACCTGAAATCATGTGCATCCATACTACCATGTTGTGTAACATTTGATTTTGTTTAATATGCTACAGCCTTGAATTTAAGTCCCCCAGTCTTTATTGTATACTTCCTCTGGGCATTGGCTCTCAAACTTGGAGTCATCAAAAATATTTTACAAAATACTGAAGCCTTGGTCACACCCCCCGAGTTTCTGATTTAACTGGTAACGGAGCTAACCTGGAGATTGGAATTTTTAAAATCTTTTGAGCAAATCGAGGGTGCCGTAAACTTTGAGTATCACGGATGTACCAGTAGGAGGAAGTGATGGTGATCCTGGTGACCCATTTCAGTAGGGTTTTCCTTTAAGTTAATTGCTAAATTTGGGGTGTGTTTGTCTTAATGCATCTACAAATTTCATTCCACTCCCTTTTGGACCAGTGGCATGGATGTGATTGATACGCATAGGAATGGATGGAGTCTTTGGATCTGAAAGACCTATCTGGTGGCAGTGCAGAGTGTTGGAGAGAACATTGTTCTGGGAGTCAAGAGCTCTGTGTTCTAGCAAGCGCCAGTGGTATAACTGGTTACTCATCTGTAAACTGAACAATAATGATGTCCTCCTGTTTACCTCTTGGCATTCTTATAAGGTTCAAATGTAACAACATGTTATTAAAGTGCAGACTCACTATTATTATAACTATTTTTAGTGAGCAAACCTGGGCTTCTGGCTCTTCAGTACCATGCTCTATCTTGCGGAACAAGCTAGATAAATGAATTTGATTGTATGTCACATGGAACAGTGATGTTTTGTTTTGATAGTAAGTTTTATTTGGTTATTTTATATGCCAGCTACTTTTTTTGGTTTTCCTGGTCTAATCCAGGAAAGAACTAATACTTTCCTTGTGCAAATTGTGACTGTAAATCAGAGTAGCTTGTATGTGTGTGTGCATGTGTGTTTTGTAAAATGCCTCATTACATAATAACCAAAGGCCAAGAATTTGCAGAATATGTAATTGAACAGTGAAACCCCAACAGCAGATTTCCTGGATGAATTGTTTTAAAAAGCTTTGTTTTATTGTTAGCTATTGCTTTGAAGTTCCCATTTGCTATTTTAGTTCAACTGGATACTATAAAGATGATTTTCTTCAGAGTTCTTTATAGACTGTTGAATTGCAAGTATTTTATATGGTTCCATTTTTTTCCCCTAATATTGACTCAGCTAAGCAAGACATTCTAGGTAGAACTAGGTTTCTACAGCATAGTCCGCTAATGTATTTAGTTAAAAAGCTCTATAATATTGAATCTTGGAATTCCTTATGAGTGACACATTTTGCTAGGTCAGTCTCTACTTTTGTGGCTTGTGTGGGCCAATATAAGTGATAACTGTGGCAGACACTGAAGCACATACAAATACTGACTCAGGTCACTTAGGAGTAGCTGGCAGAATTTGGGGTGTTCTCCTGTTGCCAGGCATGTTGCTTAACTTGTTGGACAGCAGAGCTGTCCAGACAGCATTGGAACGATTACTATAAAAGAATTTCCTAGAGTTTGTACAGCATTAATGTAAAATACATTTAAAATAAGGAAAACTCATATTTTTACTATGTATTCTTATTTTAGGGTATAAAAGAAAAGCATTTAAATCTGAATCCTGAATTTCTTTTATGGAAAACATATCTTCACCCTTTCAGAATCCTTCCCTCCCCCCTTCATGTGCATTGTTGAGGGGAAAGGAATATTTTAGATTCAGTAGCCATTTATGTCTGCTTGGAAAGCAGAATCTAATTATGAAAATGTAAGTCTGTGAAATGCTCCTGTCATGTCAAGAATCACTTCTGGTATTTCCCATAATTACTGCTTTGCTGTTCTCTAACTCAAGTTATCTTCACTTACAAGGCTGTTATCAATTTGAATATCTGATAGGTAGTGATCAGAAAGCTAGTTATCAGTAGGCCCATTGAGGATGGGGACAAGAATGAGTATTTTATATTTCTGTGGGTGACACTAGTGGAATAACTGTTCCATCCATTAAGCAAGAAAATTCAATAAAACCTCTTGGAGACTAAAATAAACCCAAATTCTGATTTTAAAAATGAGGATTATGATTTTTGAAGATGAGAAGTTTGAAAACTACATAATTTCTCACCATTGATAGATAATGAAGTGATTCCGGAATGGTGTAAGCTGGCAAACACTCACCCTGCACATGTGTGTGCATGCACACACACACACACACACGTGACAGGTGCAATATTCAGCATTAAGTGTGTACAGAATGTGATAGGACCTAACATATCTCAGAAACTAATAGTCAAGGAAAAAATGGGACTGAAGGTTTTTGATCCGAACAGAGAGACCTAACAGGGCCTACATCCTAGGCCTCCTTAGAATTTTACTGACAAGATAGCAACTTCCTGAAAATTCTCACTAACATTCTCAAATCTGAAGAGAAGCAAACTGAGTAGATATCCTCGGCTTTTGTGGTGGTGGTGGTGGTGGATGCTTCTTGTGAGTGAGAAATAGTAGAAATGATTCTGGAAAAGAAACCAGTGAAATGGGTGAACAAACCCTGCCTCTCTGGAGAAATGAAGGCATCAGAGCAAAACTCCAAACTGGGAAAATGATCCATAGTTCTTTTCAACGAAATACCCTTTTCCAGCTAATCTTAGATCTTCCACCAAGAAGAAAGCATCAATTTACTGAATCCATGGAATTGTCTAATAATTGTTCCCCACAAATAGAGCTCCTTAATAAGAGCATAAATTCCATAAAACAAGAGCTCAAAGATGAGATGATAAAACAATAGCATGAGATGAAAAAGGATATTTTAGATCTAGGGAAACAAATTGAAAATGAAAAAACCATGGTAATTATAGAACAAAAATATTCATTAGAAATAGCAGGAAGCAGAACAGACACCAGTAAAACTCTTTACCAACAAAGGGGAAAGGTTTAAGACAATCACAGGGAATGAAAAAGGAAAATGAATTCAAGCAATTGGAAAGAAGTGAATTAATAAGAAAGACAAAGGCAGCATAACAAAGAGATTATTTATATCCCTGAAGTTGATATTCTAAAGCAATGAACAGAAGATAATTTTGTGAAAAGATGAAAGATTATTTAAATACATTGGAAAAGAAAAAAATAAGTCTCTAGATTGAAAGGCCTCTCCTCTTTAAG